ACAATGGATGGTGACTGGGCTTAAGTGTACGCTGAGTGCCCCATTGTCTGCAAACTTGCAGATTTTGGTCTGAGCAGATCTCCAGACATGCAGACAATCTGGGATTGTTAGTTTAGTGAAAAAGTCTTAACTCAGTTTCGTTACAAAACGAAAATTGTCGGCTCGAGTCCCCAGAGTTATGTAGTTTTTATTGCTATTAAACACCTACAATACAATCACGTTCATTTCTAGATACAGCTATTACTTAACAATGTTATATGATACATGACGCTAAATTAGATTATGAATCTTATTTGTAGATTTATTTGTATTGTATACATTAATGTTAAGAGTTATGATACCTCTTATTTTCACTTGAGAAGTTCTTCGAATAGTAGATGATCGTGTTAATAAAGCCAACATTTTTTTTGCGTTTTACAAGTCCGCGTTTTACAAGTCCAGTCCAGTCCAGTCCAGTTCAGTCCAGTCCTCGAAATACAGTATGAGGGTTTAAAAGTCTGAAGCAACTGTGGCCTTCCTTGATAGCTTTCAGGAACTGAAACTCGATTGGTAAGCCTGAGTAATTATTGCATTTGACATTTGTTTTTGTTATATCTAATTTCACGAAGTCGAGCATAGTTTATGCGGCAAGTTTATGCACGTTTGTAAGATTTGAGTCAATGATCTGATCTAGTATCAGGTTTGATATAGGCTTACAGAACTTTAAAAGGCCTTCAGATATATTTTCTCACCCTAAATAGAAGAAAAAGTTCCGAAGAATATTTAGTTATAACTTTGGCTGTAGAAAGAAAACTTTGAGCGATTTTCTTGCTTCGAGGAGTTCATCTTTGAAAAAAAACACATCGGGAGGCCGGCTTAAAGTAAAACATAAAACTCAGGATTTTTAGAGACACTTTAATACCTGTCTTCGTGAATGAAAATTGTTGTCTCTGTAAATGTTTCTCCGAATTATATTTCTTTTAATGATTGTTAGTAGTCTCTCTTGCAATTTTAATCGCTTGTACGTGCCGTTTGTTTTCATCGTTCATGAACATCGCTTGCTGGAGTACTCAAAAATGTCACGAGTATCAAACGCTTTATAAGATTACAGATCGTTACAACTGAAACCATTAAATAACACAATAATAATAATAATAATAATAATAAATTTGTTATTATGTTGAGGCGTAACTCTATCAAAGTTCATTCAAACACTTGACCACACTGACAGCTCGCACTAGAAATGAGGACCAGCTGGCCGCATGGGTGATTTTGGAAATATTTTGAACGGTTTCGCTAAAAGCCCACGATTGATCGTCCTGAATATTGACTAAGTGCAATTTGTCTTGAAAGATTGTGAAATAACGCATTCTGTCCGAGGTCTGTATGATAAATAGTACTGTTTCAACGCAGATGTGATGTGTAAAAAGTGTAAAAGGTTGGTTTACACACCCCCAGATTTGTTGCCAAGAATTTGTAAAGTAAACCTGTCGAACGCAGAAAAATTCGGCCTGATTTGTTTTCCAAGAATTTTTTTTCGAGGCCTAATCTACTGTGATCAAGAGCCATTATGGCTCTTGAATGTGATCGAAGATGTTTCCTATTTTTTGGGTGTACATATAAGGCTGTCAACTCGATGTAAGATGTTTCACTCTAAAATAACTTGACCTTTCCCTCAAAATTAAAGTCACATGAATGTGCCCTTAGGTTAACTGATTTGTGGATTACAAGTTTACTGTTTGATTTAAATTATAAATTTATTAATGGGAGCTTCGCTCTTAGCCCTGGTTAAATCTATATATTAATTGCTACAGTAATCAAATACTTGGCAAAAGCCAGTTTTCTTTACAATTATAGAAGAGCTATTTAAAGTTCAAAACAGGCAATACCTTCCCTTACTGCTTGAGACTACAACAACTTCATATTATATAATTGCTGAGGACCCTTATATCGTTAATACAAAAGTTGACGCGTATTTTGTCAAGCTAAATTTTTCAATAAGCTTTCGTGTTGCTTTTCCGGTTGGTTAGTACTGAATCGGGCCTCCGCAAGGAAAAGTAAAATTTTCCAAAACTAGAATAGGGGCATTTATACGAGGAAAAATAAGACGCGTCTTACATAGGAAGCGTCTTAAATAAGACACGAACTTTCCGTATAAACGGCACATTTCCTCTAAAATAAGACGCGGCTTAGCTAAGACGCGTCTTATTTTAGAACAGCCCTTAACACCTGTTCTTAGATAAGACATGTCTTAGCTAAGACGAGAAAAACTTCGTATAAATGACCTTCGCGTCTTACATAAGACGCGAACGCATAGCACGCACCATGCGTCAATTTTTGGCGCGCCACGTTGGATTGCCGTTGCTACGAGCAACATTCACATGAAAACGAGTCAAGAACAGAAATAAGACCCGAACCATTTATACGAGCTGTTCTCGTCTTAGATAAAACATGCTCGTATAAATGGTACAGTTTGCGTCTTATTTAGGACGCGTCTTATGTAAGACGCGTCTTATTTTTCCTCGTATAAATGGGCCTAATATGTGCTCTAGACAGTATATAGCAATCGAGAAGACGCTGGGACGATTTCGGATTCTGAACTGATTCTAGTAACTATTCAAAATGACTTCTGCCACGTACTTTCAGTTTGTATTTTGCAATAACGATTTACTGAACTACTTAAGGCGTGAACATGAACTTGCAACAGGCTACAAATTAATTAACAAATTTAAATCTGTTAAGTTGAGATATGCCCTGGTTTTACAATTCTTACAGCGTTTAGTATGTACTAGACTTCTACTCTTATTTTATCTAATCGATGTTTACAAATGTTCACCTTTTTGTTATTGATCAAATCGAACAGGTATTAATAATAAGTAGAGTGAAAAGTTCATCATGCTTGTCTATAACATTTGAGTTTGCCTAATGTGTGATAACCTTCCTCTTGTGAATCATCCAAGTCTCCCAGTCTGATCTGAGTCACAGGTAGAACAGACTTATCAGTCAGCAGACCGCTGTCCTCTCTCCAGCCACCGCCACTGTTGTGACAGTTGCACGTTCGACCATTTGAGCAAGAGTTTGTTACCCCACATGCGCACATGTAGTTAAAGCCTGTAGCTCCACCCCAGTAATTGATGCGCCTTCCGTCACGTGACACCCACCATGCATAATTATCTTCTGGAATAAAAGCAACGTCATTATTGCATTCAAACTTGATAAACTGTTCACAGTTCTGTGAGACACGAGTAAGTGCGGCCAACTGAGCGGTGCTAACTCCAGTGTAAGTCACATCCTTGCTGTAACAACCTGCAACATAACATCCAGGAATATTACCAACATGGGTTCTACTCTCGCTGTTGTGACTTACGACTGTCACGCCAACTCCTCCCTTGTCACTCATGTCACAGTACACATTGAACGGAGCCACGCCTCCTTTGCCATCAGGGTCAATAATATAATTTCCTGAAGTTTTTTCTCTGCATCTTGATTTTAAATCGCTACAGGATGTGGGTTTACGTTTGGGCACTTCGACAACCGATGATGCTTCAATAGACCGCAGCGAGTTTTTCGCTCTGCATGTATACGAACCGGCATCATTTGGAGAAACGCGGTTTGTCAGAAGCAAGGTTCCGTTTGAATAAACAACATGATTTTGAGGCATATGTTTACCCACTCTTTTCCAAATGATCTCTGTTGAACCCTGAGCTGCGCAATGCAAAATCACTTTGCAAGATTCTAAGACAGTTACTTTGCTGAGAGGGATCAGGGTGAATTGTAGCCTGTCATTCACCATCACCACAGCGACAGCGGAGTCATCCCCAAGGAGATTCTTTGCTGAGCATGCGTAAGTCCCACTATCTGCTTTTGTTACACTGCGGATACTCAGGTTTCCATTGAATACTGAACTTCTCTTTACCGGCAGTCCGCTGAATGCTTTCCGCCAGATGACTATTGGTACAGGCAAACCGGTAGCTTTACACTTCAGGCTCACATTTTGTCCCTCTTCCACTGTGATCGATGATGGTTTATGAGTGATCAAGGCGCGGACTGTAAAACAGAAACAGTTTTGACATCAGACATGTAAAAGGAACAAGGGTGATTAACAACTCATTATGAAAACTGATCAATGATGTAATCGCATCATGACTTTCTAAGCAGAATATGTTGAAACTACACCTTTCTTACATTGAATTAGCGATTTTTCGCGCACAAATTTGTCTAGATATAATAGACCATGGTGGTGCAATTTTTACCCTTTCTCTCTCGTTATTGTATGAAGCAAACGACCAACAGTTTTCCTTAGTCTATGTTCTTATCGACCTAAGAAATTGACCCAAAATGGTCGCAACCTTGCATTTCTATGGTCGATGAGAGAAAAGACCAAAAAAATTGTTGGCGAGAAAAAGTTATTGTATGTTTCTTGGTCTATATTCTTATCGACCATAGAAATGATCAAAAATGGTTACAAAACTTTCCACTTCTATGGTCGATAAGAGAATAGACCTAGAAAATTGTTGTCGAGAGAAAGTTAATGTAAGAAAAAAAACCAACAACAGCTTTCCTTAGTCTATATTCGTACCGACCACAGAAATGACCACAATATGGTCACAACTTTTCATTTCTGTGGTCGATAACAGAACAGTGGTGGATCCAGGAGGAAGGTCCGGGGGGTCCAGACGCCCCCACCCCCCCATCAGACCCGCCGCTTGTTTGAGACTAAAATTCTTACATCGATAGGATCATATATCACTTTTTAACTGGCTGATTTTTTAATGGAACGTGCGTTATATTTTGCCGCTAAACTAAATTCCAGGGATGTTCAAAAATGTGATTGTTTGTGGGTACCCTCCTATCATCTGTTGGCCTCTGCTCGCAAAGCAGTATCAGTGCCGTAGCCAGACCAAACGGCCAACCGAGGCAGGCGGGAGTTGCTAGGGGGGTTCGGGGGCATGCCCCCCCCCCCCCCGAGAAATTTTGAACTTTTCTCGGAAATGCGATTTGCAGCGTTTTCTGGGCCTTTCGGTACCTTTTTTTCGAGTTAATTTAAGTGAAATTTAAAAAGCAATAATCAGAAACAAGCTACATAATCTGGGTGACCGTTAACATCGCCAATGGTTTTGATCAGTATTTGTTCAAAAAAAATTTGAGTTAACGTACGTAGCCCCTTGAGATCGATGATATGGTAATTTTTTCATAGTATATTGACTGAATTGCTGAATTCTTTGTAATATCATGATGCGTTAAAAATATCCGATGATCGCTTATATAAAATAAAAATGATAGGCGAAATTCGTCAAAATTTTACCGAGGCGAGTGCCTCGGTTGGCCTCATACTAGCTACGGCGCTGAGTATTTCCTGTGCCAACGGCGACCGGCGTTCACAGATTAAGAAACAAGTAGTCGTCTCTGCCTTCTCAGAGACTGGTGTGAGGGAGGGTGGGGGGTGTGGGGGAGAGGTAATTTGCCACAAAAATGTTCAACAGTCCTTTCTGAACCAAAGTTTGGACCCCACAACCCCCTCCAATAAAAAATTCCTGGATCCTCCCCTGGAGAATAGACCCAGAAAATTGTTGTCGAATTATTGGGTGTATTAAAATCATAAAGTGTTCTTCAAGAGGCCCTGCGCCTAAGAAACGACCGATGATTTCCGGCTAAAAAATAAAATCGGCCGATTTTTATCTCCCAAGTAGAGGTTACCGAATACTATTCAAAAATGAATTTCTTTTGTTTCAGTTTCGCTTTAAACCAAAAATATCGAGCCGCAAACTTTTTCCGTCTGATAGCAGCAAAATCAGGCCCAAAATAAGCCCTCGCAAAAAACGGTTCAGAAATCACTATCGCAACGCAAAATAGCGAGGAAACCACACAGTGATGAAGAAAAAGGCCTTTTAATGCAATATCATTCGATAAACATCGAAAAACTGCCGAAGGGAATAAAAAATAAATTTTCAAATATTGCATATTAAATTAGATGGAGCGTTGGAGCTGATTTTAAAATAATAATTTCTCAAAAGTCCAAACGCTGCTGAAAGCAATCACAGTGATGAATCAGACATTGGAGGGATATACATCACGTTTTCGGAAAAACATTTTTCGGCCAAAGTATACTGACGTTGTAAAAACCGTTCAAAGTTACCGTATTTACCGTTAAGTTGCCACTTCAGCGAATCACTTCTCTGTTGCCAATATGGCCAAGGGTAGCGTGGGAAACGCCACTTTAAGCCTTGCTAGGCGCTCAAAACCATCCTAAATAGATGTATATAGAATTAAAAGAGAAAGGAAAATGAAAGATTTGCAGAAAAAGAGAATAATGTATCGGTCAAATCGAAGCTTCAACATGCCCCCCCCGGGCATACCCCGGGCATTTGACACCTTTGCCGTCCCGGGGAGGAGGGAATTTGATTATCAGAGTCTTCCAGGGGGTGGGGAATTTGATCCCTATGCTTTAGGGGTGGGGAATTTGAACTGCACCCTCGATGTCATGTAAAATCTTTGGCGTGGCGAGCTATCATGTGGGACGCGGTGTTAGAGGATTTTCGTGGAAAAGATTGTGCCTTTGTGGCCAATTGGTTACGAGGAAAGGGCTTAAACAAGCTTTGTGCCGTATTTGAAGTATTTAAATTTTAAACTTTTTAATTGGATTCAGGCTTTGAGTGTACGAATGTATTTAATCGTTGTGTTTACAATGAAATACAATACCTATACCGGCGATTCAATACAACAACATAAAATAAAATAAAATAAAAAGCTCAGGTCAACTACTTTGACCTACTGCAAGGAAGTTAATTAATAAGGTGAGTGATGATGTATGTCAGTGAAATGGTCATGATGTAGTAATCTCAAAAGGTGGGATCTTTTTTTTATAGAACGCTTTGTATGTTGCATGACGAAGAAAAGCTGAGCATTCAGTGACCTTGTAGCAGCGATTTCTGCTGCTTTGCACGAGAATTTTGTTCGTAGTAAATACGCTAACAGTGTTTCTCAGTTTTTGTTATATTTATACAGATTTTGTTCGACAACTGAAGGCGTTTCCGCCGTCCTTCTGTCATTTTTGTGCCTGTGAAATGTCCCCAGGGTAGGGGCATTTGATCACCTGAATGGACCCTAGTGTGGGGCATTTGAACGGCATTTTGGCGCTGGTAGGGGGGAATTTGAACAATAATTTTCAAAAAAGTCAAATGCCTGGGGGGTTGCCCTGGGGGGGGGGCATGTTGAAGCTTCGATTTGACCAATACATAACTCGAAATTACCATCTGCTAAGGAGAGTTGAATCTTGGAAATGTTGTCGCGTGACAGCGTTCATTTGTCCGAACTGCAGCGGGATCCAAACAAATACGTGAAATATAAGTTAAAAAAAAACCAGTCTTTCTATCACCAGAAATCGTGAAGTGAAACAGTTTTATGTTTTTCCTATTAATGACGATGAATTCAGCCTCAGGTAGTCTCCAAGTACTTTGAATGTGGGCTGCTTGTATTTCGTTACATACATTCCAACGGACGTTACGGGTCAGCGCGTGTAGGGGTCAGCGGACCTGAAGAAAGGTGACGAAGTTGGAGAGCAACGCCATGCTAGGGGGCACATTGGTAGGTACCCAATATGGAAAATAAATGCGGTATCGGTATTTCGTCGATTTTTGACACGGTATTTCGGTATTTACCAATTTTTCTCACGGTATTGCGGTATTTAATCAATTTAATTTAATTCAGGAGCCCATCATTGATGGGCTCCTGTTTAATTTTGCGAGGAAACGTGAGACGACCTCGAACTGATCGGTACAACGAACGAAAAAGATACCCTACCAATTTCATCACAGATTATCTGTCAGAAATTGTGTAATGGTAATCATTTACCATTAATCTAAAGTCTTAAAAATACCGACGTGCATTAAACTAGCCTGCGTAGCAGGCGCTTGGAAGTAGTGGGCGCGAGAGAGAACGGGCGCGCGTGAGGGAGACACGCGAGGGGTGATCCAAACGCCTGCTACGCAGGCTAGCATTAAACAGGAGAGGGCAATGAACAGTACCGCAATACCGTGATCTTCTTTTACCGAAGACCGTTAACCAAAAGGAAGAAATACCGCATACCGCAGGGCTAAATGATATTACCGCAATACCCCACTTTAAAATCCAAATTACCGAAATACCACTTGAAAAAAAGCTCAATACCGTAAGCCCCCATTTCCCCCTCCATGCTGTTGAAGAGGTGATAGAATATTTGGGCTTAAAACATCCAATTATATTTGATCTTTACAATCTTTGTCATAATTATCACAGCAACAAACTTTCATCTTTCAATGTTAGTGTTGAATGTTAAGGAAGCGATGGAATACAAACTTGAACGCTTGAACACAACTTTAATCCGCTCGATTTACAATACACCGATTTACAACAGGTTGATGTACTGCCCGGGAACCCGACTTACAACAAATCTACGAGCGACTAGCAAGGAAGTCACGTGACGTGTTATCTACATAACTTATTCTACTCTCACAGGTCCAGTCTCACGGGGCTTTTAATGACCCGAGTACGAGTACGACGATGGGCCGTAACATTCTCCCCACCTTGTCCTCCTTCGGGGAGGACAACTCTCTTCTTAGGCTTACGAATAGGTACACTTTTAACATTAACAGAGTTCGCTTGAGGCTTCTCCCCACCGTCAACAGGAACATCAGCTTCACGGGTAACTTGTGGGGCCGCTGCATCAATTTCCAATCTGTGTAAGCGTTGAACAGGCCTGTTGAATGCACCTTTCTGTGCTTTCACAGTAGCCGTTCGCACGAGTCCGTCCTTACCAGGATGAACCTTTTCCACCCTGGCCATTGGCCACTTGGTACGCGATACATTATCATCAGAGACCAACACGATATCACCTTCTCGAATGGAGGGGTTTTCCTCTTGCCATTTACTTCTCACGGACAGCAGGTGCAGATATTCTCGTTGCCAACGTTTCCAATAGTGGTTAAGTAGTCTCTGTAGGTAAAGATACCTTTCGACAGTTCTTTTACTAGACTCCTCCAAGCTTTCTTCTTTACTCTCAGGTAACTGGTTAATTGGTCTACCAATTGCAAGATGAGCAGGTGTAACCGGCAAAGGGTCTCTGCAATCGTCGCTCACTGCCGTTAATGGTCGCGAGTTGATGATGCCTTCAATTCGAATTAATAATGTGTTCAACTCAGAAAAGGTGAGAAGCGCCTTTCCAAGCACTTTACGCAATGATTCTTTGATTGCTCTGAAAAATCGTTCCCACCATCCGCCTCGCCATGGTGAACGCTCGGTGATGAATTTCCACGTAATCCCTTTCGACGAGAGCTCAGAATTAATTCGATTTCGATCCAATGTATCCCACACCGTTCGACTTTGAGTACTAGGATCATACAATTTCTGGATTTCCTTGCTTGCAGCCTTAAAGGTTTTGCGTTGTCGGACCACACTGTATGGCAAAGACCTCTGCGGCTTGTCATGCGACTAAAGGCTTGTAGGAACTCATCAGTGGTAAGGCTGTGTGTTAGTTCCAAGTGAATCATACGAGATGATGCGCATGTGAATAGACAAATGTACACTTTCTGTATGGTTGAACCTTCTTTTACATAGAGAGGTCTTGCGAAGTCAGTTCCAACATGCGCGAAAGCTGGTGAACATGAAACTCTCTCCTCCGGCAATGGGCCCATTTTCTGCGCGCAAGGTCCAACTCGCTGTTTTTGGCAAGCCACGCATCTTCTGATAACACGTTTGACTTCTCGTCTCCCTTGGGTCAGCCAAATTTTCTGTCTTAAGGTTGACAGTATGCTTTCTGGGCCCGCATGTAACATGATCTTGTGTAGGTCTAGTACCATCTTTGCGACTTCGGGATGTCCGTGAGGCAATATTACTTGATGCTTGGTCTGTTCAAGTAGATCAGCAAACTGCAGTCGGCCACCAACTCTTATAACCTGATCGTCTCTGTCATAATACGGGTCCAGTTTGAGAAGGCGGCTGTTCTTGGGAAGAGTTTGTCCGGACTTTAGCAACTGGTAATCTTCTTTATAGACCTCTTGCTGTACCCACTTACAACACTTAAGCTCTGCCTTCCTCACTTCTTCTGCCGACAGTTCACTTTCAGAAGACTTACATTTAGTCTTGAACAACTTGACTGCTCTACTAGTACATAAGCGGTTACTCGAATCAACTTTAACCATGTCCCGTAACGCGACATATCAACTAACGGCTCTCTAACGACTGCTGTACAACCATGAGCAATTTTCCTTTCCTCTTTGCATACTTCAGAGGGAACAGTACCGCCTTGGGGCTGAACGGGTAAAGGTTTGTCACTCGAAGGCAGCCACCGAGGTCCATTCCACCATAAGGTATTGGTAATCATATCATCACAGCTCAACCCACGCGTCAACAAATCTGCAGGATTCTCCTTACTAGCACAGTACCTCCAACACTCAGGAACCCACGTAGACTGTATTTCTGCCACTCGATTCGCCACAAATGGTTTCCAACGAGAACTCTGACCTTTTACCCAATGCAGTGCCACCATACTATCAGTCCAACACACAACACCACTCACTTCCATAGGCAAAGTGTCTACAACAAACTTCAACAACCTGGCATTTACAACTGCTGCTAAAAGTTCCAGTCTGGGTAGTGACACTTTCTTTATAGGTGCAACTCGGGACTTTGATATTACCAGCTGCGAGGATACATGACCTTGCTTGTCTGCTATTCTGATGTACACTGCTGCTCCGTACGCTTTAGGAGAGGCATCTCCAAAACCATGTAGCTCTATCTTAGAATCTTGCGTGATGCCATTCCCGAAGCATCGGGGTATGGTCACACCTTTCAGTTGCAACAACTCTGACTTCCAATGTAGCCACTTTGCTTTAATTTCACTGTCCAAAGGGTCATCCCACAATAATCCTTTCAACCACAGTTCTTGGAAGAGGATTTTGGCTCTGACAGTGAAGGGAGATATCAACCCTAAAGGGTCAAACATTTTCGATGCTAGACTAAGCAGGCTTCTCTTTGTCATTGGATCCGGAGATAAGACAATTCCACCAGGTGCAAGAAATCGGAAGTGATCAGAGGTCAAATCCCATGAGACTCCAAGCGCTTTAAGGGGTTCACTCGACTCAAACTCCACCAGTGACGATGAGGCTCTTTTGGGCAATAGCATCCATTACGAGCTGTGAGTTACTTGCCCACTTTGTCAAGTTAAACGCCGCTTTCATCATGATCTCTGACATGTCTTGTTGAAGTTTCACAGTCGAGTCCACCGTATCGGCTCCTGTTAGGACGTCATCCACATACATGTTTTGTAGAATTTCTTGGACTGCATTTGGGAACAGTTCTGCGTATTTTTTTGCATGAGCATGGACAGTCGAAATAGCAAGGAATGGACTGGAGTTCACACCAAATGTCAGTCTTTGCATTCTATAAACTTTGGGTGTTTCGTTAAATTGTAAATCTCTCCACAGGTACCGGTGAACGTCTCTATCCTCTGGCGCTAGCTTGACCTGAAGAAACATCTTTTCAATATCTGCTATGAGACCAATTCTGTTTGTTCGAAATCGAATGAGTACAGATGCAAGGTTGGGCTGTAAAGCAGGACCGGGAAGGACACAATCGTTGAGAGAAACACCATCTCCTTCTCGCGCGGAAGCATCAAACACGATTCTGCACTTAGTCGTCGTTTTGTCATCACGGAACACAGCATGAAGCGGCAGGTAGCGTACAGTTCTATCTTCATCATTCTCGTTAGGCACTACCTCTGCAAATCCTTTCTCTACATATTCATTGATTGCAGAATTGTAAGCTTTAGCTTTCACAGGGTCATGTCTTAACCTTCTTTCGATGCTTTCCAGACGTCTAACAGCTTGCATGTAGTTACTTTCCAGTTTAGGAGGGTCACGTTTCCACGGTAGTCGTACTTCATAGTTCTTCCCGTCAAATTTCAATCCTCTATTGAAGTCAGCAACAGCAACTTCCTCCTCCCGGGAAATAACAGTGTTTTCAGTCTCAGCGATGCCAATAGATTCCAGTTCCCAGAATCTTTTCAAGCTTTTAGTGAGTCCACTGTTTTCTACAACGGTAAGCATGGATGTGGTATACCTTGAGTAACGGTTTACTTGTCCGGTAAGAATCCACCCGAGATGAGATTCAACAGCAACAAGTGACTCAGATGAACTACCTTTCTTGTACAACCCAGTTACGAACGAGTAGTAAAAGTCTGCACCAATAAGGACGTCTACTTGGACGGAATCGCGAGGGTAGGAATCTGCGAGAGTTAAACCTTGAAGATGAGAGTTATTACGAAAGTCTAACTGCACTGGCCCGAGGGGGTTACAAATCTTGGGAATAGCAAGGGCCTCCATCTCCACCTTGGAATCTCCTTTCATTGGCGAAAGTGCAAATTTAACTCTCTGCAATCTCTTGGTTTCACTAGTTGTTCCACCGAGCATTGTAACACTTAATAACTCTGAGGGACCTTGCAAGCCAAGGGACTCTGCAATGTTCTTGCGCACATATGAACGTTGACTACCAGAGTCTAGCAAGACACGGCTCAAGATCTATTTTATCCTCTTGAGTGTCTGCAAGCTCTAACTCCCATTTTTCTAGTAACTGAGGTGGCAACTTGGTCTCAAAGATGGGTAACAAAATACAACCATGACTCGCTGGATCTTCACCAAGCGCTTCTAAGGCTCTGGTTCTATTCATAAATGTGTCATAAAGATCTCTAAGGGCGGATGCGCTGACCGCCGACTTAGCATCCATCTGGATGACAGATTTCACAAGGGATGAGATTATCATACGTTTTCTTCCATACCTGTGTTGGAGGCAATGGACCGCTGCTTGATAATTTGCTCCAGTTACTTCAAATCCTTCTATTGTTTGCAAAGCATTACCAGTAAGCACTGAGCGTAGGTAAGTAAACTTCTGTACCTTGGGTAAGTCATCATTGTTATGCACTGCGGCTTCAAACTGGTCCCAGAAGTTTTGAAATTTCAACACATCCCCATTAAACTTTGGCAGTTCAATCCTGGGCAATTTAAGACTTGACGATTGACGACTGTCAGTATGTGTATTTTCTTTTGAAGACTGATGATCTTCCACTTTGGAATCCTTTTGGAGGTATTCATGAGCAACATCGATAGCTTTATCCACCACACGTAAAAGATCTCCCCATTTGCGAAGTTCTTCTTCTATCATATCCTCCGCGATCAGCGCGACTATTTCATTTCTCAGCTGAAGATATTTCTCTCTGTGCACGGTAAGTCTTTCAATTCTCAGCTTTACTTTCACTTTGTTACTTGTACTTTGACTAAGCTCGAAATTTCCCGAATCAGCCCGTCCATATCTATTTGCAAGGCTTTGGCTTTGCGTCTGATCGAGTTAATCTCTTGAATTTCTACTTCACTCGAAGACTCCGCTGACTCAGCAAGATTCATTTCTTCCTTCGACTCTGGTTTGACAACATTTGACTTTGAATCGTCTACCAACCTTTCAATCAAGACCTTCTTTTTTCCAGTAGTTGGTAATCCCTTTTCTTGAAGCAGCTTTCGCAGCTGATCGGCTGTAAGTTGCGATAAATCATCATTTTCGGTCTTTGGACTGGCGGCCATCTTATCGCCCACGTGGTGATGACCTTGCGAAGAATTACAAATTTACTGTTCAAATGTCACCTTGTATCCGGCTGTGAAGGACCATGGTAAGGAAGCGATTGAATACAAACTTGAACGCTTGAACACAACTTTAATCCGCTCGATTTACAATACACCGATTTACAACAGGTTGATGTACTGCCCGGGAACCCGACTTACAACAAATCTACGAGCGACTAGCAAGGAAGTCACGTGACGTGTTATCTACATAATTTATTCTACTCTCACAGGTCCAGTCTCACGGGGCTTTTAATGACCCGAGTACGAGTACGACGATGGGCCGTAACATTGAAAGACATGTGCGGGTATTTCGAAATACCTTACAAATCTACAGATCTAAAAAGAGACCTTTTAGCCAAGGTTTCAGTGTAAAGGAATGTGACTGAGTGCAGCAAAAAATAAATTCATTCTGTAACTTTCCTGCGCAAGAGTTTGAGTGCATGGTAGGCTGTCCAATCGGTAATGTGACAAGTAGTGCCGGTTGTGCATTGGTTATCATCTAAATATCATAAATATTATTGTGGAAACAAATTATGAAGCATATTATAAAATGAAGTTGCAAAATGAGTGAGGCACTTTCATCGATTTAAAAGTCCTGACGGTCTCCTATATTTTTTTATGATGTCCTCCCCAATATTTGGGTGACCCTATTCGGCGGAATGGCAGAATACATGCAATCAGTTGTAAAATACGGAATATACGTAATACTCTAAAACACGGAATTTACAGAATATTCTGTATTTGATTTGAACTGGACTGACGAAAAACCAGAGGCAATATTAAAAATTCAATTTTCGTACTGCCTTAAGCCACATTATAGACCTTATGACGGTTTTGAAAGCCATCTTGACGGGTGAAGGGTCCGGCATCACGGGAATCTAATGTCGGATAACTTTCTTAAAACGGCTGTTCTAAAAAAAAACAATTGTAAACTTAAGCGTGACAGGATTGTACTACCAATTAATGGGGGCCGCACCTGTGCCTAAATTTGTCCGGTCGCTTGCTTTAGATTTTCCAGAGTCTTCAAAGTCTTCAAAGGAATGATCTCTTCTTCAAATTTTGTGGAGATTGCTCGGCTGGTCGTTCTGGCGAGGAAGGATCCAGGGACAAAAGTGCCCTACAAGTTTCAAGGCAAGTCCCTCGCGTTAACTGAGCATTCACCGTCAGTATTTGTTACTGCTACAGTTTCAAATGTTGTTCGTTTTTAAATAAATATCAAAGTTCTTTTTTTAACATTTGGTTGTTTCTCAAAAAAGAAATAAGCGCCCTGTCCCGAATAAGCGTCCTCCCTAGAGGCACCAAAAGTAAATAAGCCCTTGGGCGCTAAATCGAATCATTACGGTAAGTCAGTTCTTTTACTTGTCACGCGCTTAAAACA